ATATAGTAAGGTTATTTGTGGAGTTCTTCTTTAAGGCCGTCATACACAGTTCAGTTCTATTTCTAACAATTCTCCTGTTGGCATCATGTGGCTCAACAAAAGTAAAATGAACTTTATGAAGGGGCTGGGTGGAAAATTGTTGGCAGATGCAGGCAATGTTTGGGTATCCTCACAGCCGCTGGAGCTGGCTGTCAGAATTCAATAGCTGGCAGAGAAGATTTGTCCAACCACGCTGTTTAACGTCGGTGGAGGAACCTGTTAGATGTCTTTCTTTCAGACCAAGAAAAAAAAAATTCTTTGTGTATGGCCAGCTTAATACAGATATTCATCATTTCAAGTGCTTGTCATTTATCACATCTTCATTGCCTGATTTATCACAGTACGGTCTATGGTATACGAACATCTTGGCTAACAAGCGTGACCATCATGGGAAATACATTCAGAATTGTTTAATGAGTAAAAGAGCAAAGTGCAGTAACCCATAGCAACTGATCAGCAGGCTTCTCTCTGTCTTCTGTCCGCTCTGCTGCTTTCCTAAAAGTCAGCATGGCTATGGAAGGCTGCACTTTACATATCATCGCTGCTCTTATTATATAAGCACGTATTTGATGTAGACCCTGGCTGGGCTCCCTTGGCATTTTGTTTCACTACACAATCTCCAGCAGACCATGGTTCACACACAGGCTGTTCTCTCTACACACGTACTCTGTATGTTACATTAAACAGTCTCAGCAGGATCATTTTCTCCTCACTTGACTGATCACCACGGCTCGTCCTGGTACATATGTATCATGAGTGCTGCAGGTGTAGACATGGTCTCTGCCTACAGTCATTTTTCTTCCCTTGTCAGTGACTGATGTTCCCAGGTTTCTCCTAGCAATGCTTCCATAATTATATGCTTGGCTAGTGCTTAACATATTATTCTGTTTACTACTTTTTATTTTTTTTTTTTTTGCTAGTCAGCGGTCCTGAGCTACACATTTTTATTAAGACAGATTGTCATTTTTTTTGTGGCATGCCTGTTTTGCTGCTAGTACTTCTCCACTAATTCACACTGATGCTTTCGGTGTTGATTAGAGACATGCACATGTTTTTGGGTTGATAACGGTTCATTTAAAGTCTAATGCAGGCCATACATGGTTCGAATTCCGAACAATTTATCGTCCGAAAATCGAAAACTTCTTTCGCTTGGTAATTCGATGGTGCCATCAATGATTTCAAAAATTGGCCGACCAAGTCATAAAGTTCACTCCCAACATGCCCGATCACCAAAAAGGGGAGGAACCACGAAAATCGGCCAGTGCCATTGACCCAATTACAGAGCAAAAATTGGCCAATTATTCTTAGGCCTGACTTTCGGACAAAAAATCTGTCATTTCGACCCATGTATGGCTAGTCTTAGGTTAGGAGTTAGATGGCTACGTTTCGCAATTATGTTAAAAGCGGTACTAAACCTTACTAAAAAAAAACATTTGGGCCCCTGGACAGTTTAAGTCATATTGTGCCTGTTTTCCAAATACTAGCAGATTATGACAGACTTACCCGAAAATGAAGTCTTCCAGTGGAGTGTTGTCACTGCTGTATGCTCTTCACCGGGTCCTCCTTCCAGGTTCATGGGCTTTGGCCGCATACATGTAGCCATGATCACGTCACTAACGTTATGCATGTGGGAATCACAGGCGTGGCACAAAGTTCTGAATATACGGCACAGCCCATTCAGTACGCAATTTTTTTTTTGTTCTTTTCCCCCTATCCACACATTCAAGGGAGCCTTCCCCACTGCAAGAACACGATGATCAGAGTTCCAGGCTATAGCCAGCGTCACTGATTCTTTGTGAAAAAAACCAACGGGTGTTTGTGCAGAAGTGACTTCTGTACAACCAGGGTGCCCATACTTGGATCGAAATTTGGCAGGTCCATGCTGAATCAGCTGAATTTCGATCCATGTATGGCCTGCTTTAGGGTGTCTCTACTCTGGATGGAGGAGTAACAGAAACATCCTTGGCTAGCAGCATTGTTAGTCTGGGGGAGAGGGTGGTGTTACATGCATTGGTAGATTTTGATGGGCTTGACTAACCAATTAAATAATATATATATATATATATATATATATATATATATATATATATATATATATATATATATATATATATATATATATATATATATATATATATATTCAAAATTGTTGTCTTTTTTTTTTTTTGTTTATAGCGCCATTATCAGTTAAAGTAATGCACCGCCTTATCAAAAAAAATGGCCTGATCAGGAAGGGGGTAAATCTTCTGGAGGGCAAGTGGCTAAGTCCAGGTTCACACTGATGTGGTGCAGGTTTCGCAGCGATTCCTGTGCGTTTCCTGCCCTGCATTACAATCGCACTCCATTCATGTGAACCGCTGTGGGTGTCAATGTTAATGACACCCCAGAAAGGGTTTGCAAATTGGTTGAATTGGATCGCATGGGTATGAACTGCAATGTGATCTGATTCCAGTGCGCTAAAATAGGTGCGTGCAACTTTTTCGTGGGGGTGTGGTGTGATTTGAGCCAGACAAAATGAATGGGCTCAAATTGCACTGCAAAGAATTGCATGTGATTTGAACAGAATGCAGTGCAATTCCCGCATTACATCAGTGTGAACCGGGACTTTAAACCTTCTTTTTGCTAAGAATTTTCTTTCAAAATTCTACCCATCTATGGCCAGCTTTACTTTGTCTTTAGCAGAAATGAAAGGACATTGCATATTGAGATTAACATTTCCTTCTTGTATGCTGGGCTTTTTTTCCAGTCACCCCTCGTCTCCACCCACCTTTGAGCACCATCCTTTGGTTCCACCGCCTACCCACCTAACAGTACCACCCCTTTTAGTATACTAAATACAGAACCAAGTATCATTTTGTGGTGTTAAGTAATTTGTAAGGAATTTTTCTAATGATGGCATAAAAAGCAGTAAAATAGATCCCCTGCTGCCAGCAACAAAAGCACCCCCAGCAACTATAGACCCCCACTAGCAACAATAGATCTCCCAGCAGCCAGCAACAACAGACCCCGCCCTCAATAGTTGATCCCTTCCAGCAACAATTGACCCTTGAGCAACAATAGATCCCCCAGTATCAATAGACCCTCCAGCATCCCTTGCCTATTCATTTATTCAGTGGTGGAGGTGCCAGAATTGCGTTCCCTTGCGTTCTCGCAGAAAAACAGAGCTGCTTGTATGCAAGATATATCCCAAACTCTGACAGGATACCCCTGATGTTCTATACAATATGGTTTAAAACCAGAGCAGTTTTTATTTTATAGTGTGCCCCCTTAAATACATATAAACCATTTTCCTATGGCATGTTAAACAGCTATACTACTCTGTAGCCTTTTCGATTAGAAAGTCAGGCGTGCCAGTCTCCTGGCATGAATGTGCGTCTGCTGTGCCAGTGTGCCGCTTGGAGCGTTTGAGTCCAGAGTCATAAAACATAACGAAGTCAGACTAACAGCAGATGGGCCACTGCCGTAATGTAGCGTGCAAAGAGACGAAGATCCAGATTTTTCAAATATTTTGAACACATGTCTATTTCTGAGCTGTCAAAAGTATTAAAAATGACTTAATGTGATATCCAGAACCTTTGTGGAAAAGCTCCTTCAGCATCAGTAAAGGCTAAAAAAAAAAATCCAGGATGTTACTATTGAGTATTATAGAGAGGTGCAATGCTGTGTACAAATTGTTCCGCCGTAATTCTAGGCAGTGAGGTGTTTTACAGCAGCACCTGGCGGGGTGTAGAGGAGAAATGAACTATTCTGCTGTTACTTGTAAATGCCTCTGCCCCAAACAGCTTTTTCATTGCAGGTTGCAGCTTCCCTGGCACAGAATAATTTACACCTGAGGTGGGGAATGAATGTGCCTGAAAAGTGTGAAATAACAAAAAGTTTGGGGTTGTTATTGGTGGTTTTGGCGAGCTTTCAATCTTCCGTTGCTTCTGCGATACCATTTATTTTGGTTTTTGTTAAGTGAACCTAATGTATTGAAGTAACCTCAATGTAGAAAAGCTTGTATTTTTGGTCCCATTTACATTTATCTGTCTCAAAAAAATGCTAAAAAATTCATATGGGTACAGTGTTGCATGACCGTGCAATTGTCATTCAAAGTGTGATAGTGCTGAAAGCTGAAATTGGCCTGAACAGGAAGGGGGTAAAAGTGTACGGACTTGAAGTGGTTAAGGTCCTGGAGTGGCTTAGCCAGTCTCCAGACATTAATCCGATTGAAAATCTGTGGAGGGAGCTGAAGGCTCGAGTTGCCAAACATCAACCGCCAAACCTGAGATGTGTGCAAACCTGGTGGCCAACTACAGGAAACATCTGACCTCTGTGATTACCAACAAGGGATTTGCCACAAAGTACTAAGTTATGTTTTGTGATGGGGATCAAATACTTATTTCCCTCATAAACATGCAAATCAGCGCATAATTTGTTAGACATGCATTTCTTTTGAATTTTTTGTTGCTATTCTGTTTCTCAATGTTACAATACAGCTACAATTTGATTTTTAGACTGATCATTTCTTTGTGAGTGGGCAAACATTCAAAATCAGCAGGGGATCAAATACTTATTTCCTTCACTGTATGCTTTGCCTTTCTTGTGTGTTATGGCGATGTATGCGTATACTATCCTTTTTGTGCATTTGGAAGATCGGCTCACTAATGCCTTACACCAGTGATGGCGAACCTTTTTGAGCCTGAGTGCCCAAACTGCAACCCAAAACCAACTTATTTCTTTCAAAGTGCCAACACTGCAATGAAACCTGAATATCGAGCTTTTGGTTTAGAAAAAACAACTCGTACAGTAGTGCAAACTAATTAACAGTACAGGGATGACCAGAGACTGCGGACACAGTACAGGGATGACCAGAGACTGCGGACACAGTACAGGGATGACCAGAGACTGCGGACACAGTACAGGGATGACCAGAGACTGCGGACACAGTACAGGGATGACCAGAGACTGCGGACACAGTACAGGGATGACCAGAGACTGCGGACACAGTACAGGGATGACCAGAGACTGCGGACACAGTACAGGGATGACCAGAGACTGCGGACACAGTACAGGGATGACCAGAGACTGCGGACACAGTACAGGGATGACCAGAGACTGCGGACACAGTACAGGGATGACCAGAGACTGCGGACACAGTACAGGGATGACCAGAGACTGCGGACACAGTACAGGGATGACCAGAGACTGCGGACACAGTACAGGAGATGACCAGAGACTGCGGACACAGTACAGGAGATGACCAGAGACTGCGGACACAGTACAGGGATGACCAGAGACTGCGGACACAGTACAGGGATGACCAGAGACTGCGGACACAGTACAGGGATGACCAGAGACTGCGGACACAGTACAGGGATGACCAGAGACTGCGGACACAGTACAGGGATGACCAGAGACTGCGGACAGCACAGGGATGACCAGAGACTGCGGACAGCACAGGGATGACCAGAGACTGCGGACAGCACAGGGATGACCAGAGACTGCGGACAGCACAGGGATGACCAGAGACTGCGGACAGCACAGGGATGACCAGAGACTGCGGACAGCACAGGGATGACCAGAGACTGCGGACAGCACAGGGATGACCAGAGACTGCGGACAGCACAGGGATGACCAGAGACTGCGGACAGCACAGGGATGACTGCTGACCTTTGGGGAGGGAGGGGGAGCGGGTGCCTGAATTTGACAGGTACCCGCTCTTACTTCCGCAGAGTTTTTTTTTTTATCTTACCTGTTCCTTTATCCAGCCGCGCGTTGTCTTCCCGGCTTCTGTAGTGTGGGCGGACAGCCGGATGCCCAGTGCGCATGCGCGAGAAGCGCTGCGCTTTGTGATTGGTCCGGCGGCTTCTGGGATCTGTCATGTGTCCCAGGTACCGCCTTACCATTCACAAAGAGCACTGCTTCTTGTGCATGCGCACTTGGGACCCGGCTGTCACGCACACTACAGCCGGGAAGACAGCGCGCCGCTGGATTCTCCTGGCGTGCCCACAGATAAGGCTCGGCGTGCCGGCTGTGGCACGCGTGCCACGGGTTCGCCATCACTGCCTTACACTGACTGTCATTGATAAACCAGATTATGATTCTGTCTGATCGTTTTCTAGCACCTTTATCACACTTTGTTTAATTGCCTATTTGAGCTTTTAGTAAATGCCCCGCTTTATTTGTGAACTATAGACCGGGTATATTATTATTATTATTATTATACAGGATTTATATAGCGCCAACAGTTTGTGCAGCGCTTTACAAAATGAAGGTAGACATTACAGTTACAATACAATTTGGTACAAGGGGGAAACAGAGGGCCCTGCTTATTAGGCCTCTTTCACACGGGCATTCCTATGTCCGTTTTTTTTCATCTGTCCGTTTACGGATGAAAAATGGACACCCATGTATCTCTATGGATAAGCGGTTGTAAATGGATGATCATCTGTTTATATACATTAATGTCCAGTTTTTTTGAATGGAAGAAATCCCTACTTTTCTTCCGGTTTTTAAAAAAAAAAACGGAACAAACAAAAAAACGGATGTAAATGTATGAAAAACGGATGTAAACTGATCAGTTTTTGCTTGGAAAAAAAAAGGGACTGAACTGGTGAAATAAACGGAGTGCTCGTGTGAAAGGGGACTTAGAGTTTACAATCTAGCAGTATATTTCAGCAACCCGTGAATGAGAGGCATGGAGTAAGACCTCATCTGGAATATGCAATTCAGTTTTGGGCAACAAATCACAAAACGAACATTGGGAAACTAGAGAAAGTGCAGAGAAGGGCAACCAAACTAATACAAGGCATGAAGGAGCTACGCTATGAGGAAAGATTAGAGGAACTGAATTTATTCTCTTGGGAAGAGGAGATTAAGGGGGATATGATCAACATGTAAAAAAAAATTAGTGGTTCATATAGTGAACTCGGTGTAGATTTATTCAACCTGAGGTCATCACATAGGACAAGGGGGCACTCTTTACTTCTGGAGGAAAGGAGATTTAATCTCCAAATATGGAAAGGTTTCTTCACCGTAAGAGCTGTGAAAATGTGGAATAGACTCCCTCAAGAGTTGGTTCTGGCCAGCTCAGTGGATTGCTTTAAAAAAGTCCTGGATTCTTCTAGATACGCAGAATATAACTGGATACTAACATTTATAGGTAAAGTTGATCCAGGGAATATCCGATTGCCTCTCGGGGGATCAGGAAGGATTTTTTTCCCCCTGCAGGAGCAAATTGGATCATGCTTTGCTAGGGGTTTTTTTTGCCTTACCCTGGATCAACTGTGAGGATTATTTATTTATTTTTTTTTTTGGTTGAACTGGATGGATTTTTTTTCAGCTAGACTAACTATATGTAACTATATGTTCAAGCTACAGTTAAGAGAAGTATGGGAATAGGTTTTTTCCTGAATTATACTTACCTGGGTGGATGCAGCATCGGTTCAGAGACCCTAGAGAATAAAATAATGGTAGTTCCAATTTGCATATTACTGAAAAATTTCAGTAAAAAATACAAGTAAGTTAATTTTAGGGCACAAAAAGCAATAAATTTACCCTATTTTTTTGTAACCTATATAAGATGAGGTTGCACCAAGTAAATCGATATCCAACTTGTCAAACCTTAAATTTGTGTGTGCTCATGAAATAGCGATGAACTTCAGTCCCTATATTTTCTATAGGTCGACACTTTTAAAGCTCCTTATAGGTCATCAGTTTAACATTATGGAGGAGGTCTGGTGCTAGAATTATAGCTCTCATTCTTGTGTGTGTGCGGCGATATGACATGTGTATCGCAATTGACGTTTTCATGCATAGGCTCCCCAGCATGTGCTTTTACATTTCTATCTGCGTATATGTGGGGGTGGGAGCCTCAATTTTTTTTTGGGGGGGATGGTATGTGCTTGGGTGTAACTTTTTTATTTTTTACAATAAAAATATTTTTTCATGTGATGATTTTTTGGTGACCGGTTCTCTTTATTGAGGCATCCAGGGTATAAAAGACCTTGCATGTCTCCCCTGTGCTCCAATGAATGTAATGCAGTGCACATCATACCGCATTACATTAAACTAACATTCCCGGAACTATAGGCAAAACCTTTTTTTTTTTTTTTTTTTTGCCATCTGTGTCCCCTTGGGAAGATTTCCCTTCACTTCCTATCCCATACCCAAAACAGGAAGTGAGAGGAAATTCTGACAAATTAAAAGAATTCCTTGGGGCCCCCCCCCCATGTCACCAGTACTAGTGTCCCCATTGGAAGATTTCCCCTCTATTACTTTTCTGAGGACAACCCAAAATTTTGGATTTTCTTTTACTTTAGATGATGATAAACAGGACAAATAGAGAGGGGGAATCTCCCTAACAGGGGCACAAACAGCTGTAAAAACTTGACAGGGGTTCTAACCCCTCTCCACTCTATCTAGAAATAAATAAAGTTTTTTGCCTTTTTAGTTCTACTTTAATGTTAATATTCTATCCAATGTACTGTGACCCAGTGATCTGAAAGTCATGTTCTGAGACTACTTACAGCCATCTTTTTTTTGGTCTTGGGGTAGGTTCACACTTGAATCTCACAGGAATGTGGTCTGTGTTCCTGTGCCATTCAGTGCAATGCCATGTTCAACCCATTCATATGACTGGACTGAAATCGCACTGGATCACACCAAAAGTAGTGTATGCACTACTTTTATAAATGCATAGTACACAGTACTATGCAATCCTGTGCATGCGCTGCATTTCGGGTGTCGATAGGAATACATTGACACCCGCAGCACATTGTACACCCAGTGTGTTTTGAATGCAGCGTAGGAACCGTCCCTGGCCTCAGTATTTTGTGATACTGAACCTAACAAACGGACCATGAAAATCCGGGTGAAATCAGAACTGTGACTCTGCAAATTTTTGTTCCAGGTTAGTGACTCAGTACTAAAGATTTTAGAGCAGCATGACTGCCAGGAAACTAGTATTTTCAGCAATGGTGGTGGGCCTCCATACTTCCTCTGTACCAGTTTCCTTTAAAGCTGAACTTCAGGAAAACAAACTTCCTTGCAGTGGGGCTGCCCCCTCTTCACTGAAAGGGTTATGGGTTCATTTAGTCTTGGTGATTTGGAAAAGCACTTCTTACTTGATCCATCACTCCTGCAGTCTCCTTTGCACTGCTAGACTGGTCCTTGTAGTTGCCTCTTACCTTCAGTCCAGCAACCTAAGGTTCTCTGATGTCATCAAAATCGATGCAGGGACCATAGCCCTACATTGGATGCGATGATGCTGAGGGACAGTTCACCACTGGAGCATGGGTTAGTTCCGTCTGCTGCAGGGAGCAGGAGGTCAGATATGTAAAACTCCTTTTTTGTTTTTTTCCATGTGGTCCCCTAGACAGAAACAAGCAGTTAACCCTGGCAGTGGGCCTGTTTAAGTTTACCGGAGTAGGGCTTTAATGTTTGACTCATAGGAGTTTATAGGAAGTCTTAGACATTCATCTGGAGGACGACAGCCACTACAAATGAATTTCACAGGACTTTCCAGGAGGAAACAAAGAAAGCAATTACTGTTAATGGTGTTCCTAAGGGTTTAACAGTCCTATTTGTAATTGGTGGAGGTGGGATACAATGTGGTTCACACTGACTGCCAGCAATTTTTAATTTAGGCAGGTACAATCAAGATATAGGAACTGATTTGTGGAAATCCAGGCAAGCATCTACATTGACTGCTGTAGTACTTGCATGGGAACTGTGTTGACTTCCAAGGTAAGGTTAATACACTCATCGGCCACTTTATTAGGTACACCTTGCTAGGACCGGGTTGGACCCCCTTTTGCCTTCAGAACTGCCTTAATTCTTTGCGGCATAGATTCAACAAGGTGCTGGAAACATTCCTCAGAAATATTCTATATTGACATGAGTTACTGTTGCTTTTCTATCATCTTGAAGCAGTCTGCCCATTCTTTGACCTCTGACATCAACAAGGCGTTTTTGTCCACACAACTGCTGCTCACTGGATATTTTCTCTTTTTTGGACCATTCTCTGTAAACTCTAGAGTTTGGTTGTGTGTGAAAATCCCAGTAAATCAATCATTTTTTAAATACTCAGACCGACCCGTCTTGTACCAAAAACCATGCCACGTTCAAAGTCATTTTGTCTTTACCACATGTAGATGCCTAAATGCATTGAGTTGCTGCCATGTGATTGGCTGATTAGCAGTTTGTTACCAAGCAATTGAACAGGTGTACCTAATAAAGTTGCCGGTGAGTATAAGTCTATGCCAGCCTTTTCCAACCAGGGTGCCTTCATGTTTCTTCATGGGTGCCTTTGCAAAATGCCTAGAAATTGCCCCAAAATTGTCAACAAGCCAGCATGTGGATCATGCCTTCCTTTTAGTTACACCAAGCCACAGGTTTTCATTTTGCACCATCACAACCTTTCAGTCACTGGCATCCTAACAACCAATGGCATAATCGATTGATAAGAAGGACATTGGACGCCTGCACATCATCCTTGTTCATCCTTCCACCCCCCCCCCCCCCCATCCCCATCCATTAGTACTGGGATCACTGTACCTAAGTGAGCAGGAGAAACTAAGGGAGAGGAGAAACAT